GCTGTGGGTCTACCATATATGACCTTTATTTTGTTGAGGTATGTTCCTTCCACATCCAGTCTGTTAAGAGTTTTTATCATGAAAGGATGTTGTATTTTGTCAAATGCTTTTTCTGCATTTATTGAGATGATCATGCGATTTTTATCTTTTATTTTATTGATATGATGTGTGTAATAACATTTATTGGTTTGTGTATTTTGAACTATCCTTGCATCCCAGAAATAAATCCCACTTGGTAATGGTGTATTATCTTTTTAATGTGTTCTTGAATTTCGTTTGCTAATCTTCTGTTGAAAATTTTTGCATCTATAATCATCAGGGATATTAACGTATAGTTTTCTTTTTTTGTGCCATCCTTATCTGGCTTTGGATTCAAAGTAATGATGGGCTTGCAGAATGAGTTTGGAACTGTTCTCTCCTCTTGGATATTTTGGAAGAGTTTGAGGAGAATTGGTGTTGTTTTCTGAACATTTGGAAGAATTCTTCAGTGAGATGTCTGGCTCTGGAGTTTTTGATTACTGATTCAATCTCTATACTCAATATTGGTCTGTTCAGATTTTCTATTTCTTCCTGATTCAGAGCTGATAGGTTATGTGTTTCTAGAAATGTATCCATTTCTTCTAGGTTATGTAGTTTGTTGGCATATAATTGTTCATAGTAGCCTCATAGATTCTATGTATTTCTGTAATTTCAGTTGTAACATCTTATCTTTCATTTCAAATTTTACTTATTTGAGTCTTCTCTCTTTTTTTCTTAGTCTAGCTAAAGGTTGGTCAGTTTTTTTTATCTTTTTGAATAACCAGATCTAAGTTACATTGATCCCTTTTATTATTTTTCTAGTCTCTATTTCATTTATTTCTGTTCTGATCTTTATCATTTCCTTCCTTCTGATAACCTGAGGCTTAATTTGTTCTTATTTTTCTAGTTCCTTGAGGTGTAAAGTTAGCTTATTATTTGAGATCCTTCTAATTTTGTAATATATATGTTATATTAAGCATGTATGTTCCTCTCAGAACTGCTTTTGTTGTATCCCACAGTATTTGATATGTTGTCTTGTCTTTCCTGTTTTTAATTGAGGTATAGTTGATTTATAATGTTATTGAAGTTTCAGTGATTCAATATTTTTATAGATTATACTACATTTACAGTTATTGTAAAATATTCCATGTGGTGTACAATATATCCTTATAGCTTATTTTATACAGAGCAGTTTGCACCTCTTAATTCCCTATCCCTATCTTGCCCCTCCTCCATTTTCCACTCCCCACTCGTAACCAATAGTTCGTTCTCTATATCTGTGAGTCTGTTTCTCTTTTGTTATATCCACCTATTAAGTGATATCATACAGTATTTGTCTTTCTTTGTCTGACTTATTTCACTAAGCATAATACCCTTCAGGTCCATCCATGTTGTTGCAGATAGCAAAATTTCATTCACTTTTATGACTGAGTAGTATTCCATTACATATATATACCACATCTTCTTTATCCATTCATCTGTTGATGGACACTTAGGCTGCTTCCACATCTTGGCTATTGTAAATAGTGCTGTTATGAATGTTGAGGTGCATGCATCTTTTTGAATTAGTGTTTTCATTTTCTTCAGATATATACCTAGTAGTAGAATTGCTGGATCATACGGTAGTTCTATTTCTAGTTTTTTGAGGAAACTCCACACTGTTTTCCACAGTGGCTGCACCGATTTACATCCCAACAGACAGTGTACAAAGGTTCCATTTTTTTCCACATCCTCACCAACTTTTGTTATTTGTGGCCTTTTTGATGAGAGCCATTCTGACAGGTGTGAGGTGATATCTCATTATGGTTTTGATTTGCATTTCTCTGATAATTTGCGATGTTGAACATCTTTTCCTGGCCTGTTGGCCATCTATATGGCTTCTTTGGAAAAACATCTATTCAGGTCTTCTGTCCATTTTTAAATCAGGATGTTTGGGGGTTTTTTGATGTTGAGTTGTGTGAACTGTTTATATATTTTGGATTAACCCCTTATTGGCCATATCATTTGCAATATAATAATTTTCATGTTTCTAGTTGTGGGCTTTTTTTTCCTCTTAGAGAAGTCCCTTTAACATTACTTTTAAAACTGCTGCTTTTTTAGCTTTTGCTTGTCTGTAAAACTTTTGATCTCTCCATCAAATCTGAATGAGAGCCTTGCCAGGTAGAGTATTCTTGGTTGTAGGTTTTCCCCTTTCATCATTTTATATCATATCATTCCTTTCTGACCTGCAGAGTTTTTGCTGAGGAGTCAGCTGTTAGCCTTATGGGAGTTCCCTTGTATGTAATGTGCTGCTTTTCCCTAGCTGCTTTTAATATTCTCTCTTATGTTTAATTTTTGCCATTTTAATAACCATGTGTCTTGTTGTGTTCCTCTTTGAGTTGATCCTGTTTGGGACTCTCTGTGATTCCTGGACTTCTATGTCTGTTTCCTTTCCCAGGTCAGGGAAGTTTTCAGCTATTATGTCTTCAAATATGTTCTCTGTCCCTTTCTCTCTCTTCTCATTCTGGGACCCCTATAATGAAAATGTTAGTATTCTTGATGTTGTCCCAGAGGTCTCTTAAACTGTCCTCATTTATTTTTCTTCTTTTTTCTGTTCAATGTCAGTGATTTCTACTACTCTGTCTTCCAGCTTGCTGATCCATTTTCCTCTGTATCATTTAGTCTACTGTTGATTCCTTCTAGTGTATTTTTCATTTTGGTTATTGTAGTCTTCATCTCTGCTTGGTTGTTCTTTATCTTTTCTCTTTGTTAAAAACTTCTAAATTCTCACTGTTTTCATCCATTTTTCTCCTGAGTTCTTTGATCATCTTTATGATCATTACCTTGAACTCTTTCTCAGATAAGACTGCCTATCTCCACTTCACTTAGTTCTTCTTCTCATTTTTAATCTTGTTCCTTAATTTGGAACATGTTCATCTTTTATCTTTGCCTTCATCTGATATGAACTGAATGATTTTTGCTGATTCAGATGTTTAATGATCATGAGACCCCCTCAGGGGAGGAATAATCTCTGGTGCCTGTCAGTGCAGACATGCTTCTCCCTTAGTAGTCAGTTCTATTTTTACCTTTAGCCCCTTTAAGTCCCCCTGTGCCCCTTTTGGCAGTATGGAGTGCAGCTGAGAATGCCTCTGGATCTCCATCTGCCCAATGCTTCCTATATGTAATTTACCCACAATAAACTTCAAAATTGCTTGATTTTTGGTGTCAAAGTTCCTTCCCAGTTTGGAGAATATATTCAATATCTCTGTCTACCAATATCAACCATTTCTAATTTGGAAGCATGTAGATTTTTTCTCTTTCATTTTGTGTTTACTGTGCAGACTAAAATTTAAGTTTGTAGGTTATTAACACACTGATAATTTAACACACTCTTTAAAATCTTTTTTCATTCATATGATTGAGAAGAATTTAATTTTAACCTTGATGTGTGAACGACTTCTTATTCTCCGATGGCTTTTCATTTAAAATGCTAGAGATATTAACAGGTTTGAAATACCATCAGTATAACAAAAGAACTGCTCTTTGAATAATAACAATAATGGTATTTTAATAATCAAAATGCAAGACTTCAGGTCAGTTTCTAGTTCTTTTAGTTTTCTCTAATTTTTGTATTTCCAAGATACTTTAGATTATCCATACTAATTCCTTCCCCCTTGTCTATGAAGGATCCTAATTTTGTTTGTTTGAAGGGACTTCATGGAATGAAGGTTTTTCCAACCCTCTGAAATTATCATCCCATCCTAATAAGTCCATAAACTTGAACTTATTCTCCCAAATAACAGGAAAATCAGGTAAAACCTATCATGTTTCAAACTCTTCCCAAAGTGAAGCTGAAGTCTAAGACAAAATCTAAAATCAAATAAACAATAAATGGAAAAAACATAAAAAAGAGGGATTGAAAAAATGAAAGCATGTGGAAAAAATCCATGAATGTTCAAAGGGTGCACAATATTTTAAAGTAAAGGTGTCCTAATAATGTGCATCTTGCAGCCTAAAATTGTTTTTGACAATCATTAGGAGTCATCACTTTCCGGGAGAAACACATCTTTTGCAATCTTAAAGTCATTTGCATAGAGAAGTTGTATATTATGCATATGTGAGGTTGGCAATATGAAAAATATTCAAGCAATATAGGGCACATCACATTATTTAACCTCAGTAAATGGTTATTCTGAAACTGTAATTTTCCAAATTAGAAAGGTCTCAGGTTGTACCCCTAGAAATTTGCACTTTGGAAACTTTTCCTGGATTAAATGGATTATTCAAAACATTTACAAGCACCCAAATCTCTGCATTCCCTGCAAGAAAGCAAAAGTGGGAAATACTTGGGGACTAGCCATGCATTTATGACTTAGAGACATAAATTCTGCTCCTAAGTTGATTCTAAGTATTTCCACACTTAAACAGTGATGAATATTAAAAAATAAATCTCCATTTTAAGATACTCTCTTCCTCTTACAGATGGATGGATTGACTGAGAACATACATATTTTAAGTTCCTTTCTCCTAAAGTGGAAAAGATAGTATGAAAATTTAGCATTTAATGAAGACCTACATGAATACAACAAAGTGATACCTCCTTTAAGGAAAATCTTGCCATACCTACTCAGTTTCAGTATGTCCTTCAGGTACCTCTCAACTGATAATTTTCAAAAAACTTTTTTTCAAATAATTTAAATTTATTTATTTTTCCAAATAATGTTCAAGTTGAAAACAACCCAATCTTTATTCTAAAGTTCCTCTCATGCTTATAATGTAAACTACTGAGGTGGTTCTGTGGGATGAGACCCTGAGTCCTTAAAGTGGACTGAGAGAGGAGTTGCACCATGGGTGAGCTGCAAATGTACACTGAGATGTGAATGGTGTGCAACCTAATGTGACCTGATAGCATCTCAGTGTCCACGGTGTTTTCTCCTGTGGTCTCCAGTTTAGTGTCTGGCCCTGGAGCCCAGGATCTAAGCTGAGATTGCACACTCACTGACCTTTTGGTGCTTGTGCTGGAGATAGGCAGGTAGTCCATGACTGCGATGTACACGTATTGCTTGGCATCATCTATTACACTGTAGATGGCGTCTATGTCAAAGCTTCTGTTTTTAGGGCAAAACAGTTTGGGAGAATTCTGTGGAGACACAAAAAACAAACTTTTAGAGTATTAATTTTTGCAATCTGGGGATTTCTCTTTTTTGATGTTATTTAAAATTTTTAAAAAATGAATCTTGGCTTTTAACCAATTTTTGCAAACCTACTTTCCAGTTCTTTATGAGATTAAGACAAATACATTTTCAGTTCTATCAAAGTTGAGGCAAGTAGAAAACAAGGTGTATGGGTCTCAAATCTGTCCTTTAAGTCAGTTTTGGGAGGGAATTCTTGTTTTCAATACACACACCTCTTATTTTTATAAGAGTGCTCTAACTCTAAACTTAACGTGACTCTGGTATACATCCCTGTCATACATAGTTAATTTTCTCAGGCATTACCATATATAGTGTATATATGCATATAGCAAGCCATTTATGCTAGAACATATTTCACTTGAAAGGTAATGTGGCCATGAAGATGTTCAAGACACATGGTCTAAAAATCTTGTGTTTTTTTTTTTTTCCCAAATCTTTCATCAAGTAAGGAAGAGGAGTGTTGATTGTTGAGAAAGGGTCATCAGTAATTCTAGAGGAAAAACCAAGTGACTTATTAAGATGCCAAGTTCATAAGGAGAGACAGGGCCTTAAGAAAAATGAAAAAAGAGGCAAATTATACTTGAGGTATTTTTCTCATGTTGCTCGAAGTGGTTTCCATCTTACAGAAGTATGATGTTTTTAGATAAAGTTGCTATAGAAAGGGAAAGATGTACTTTGGTTTTCTCATTGGTTTTCCACTGGACAAGACTGAAAGGAGCATTTCTGTAGTTCCTGCATTAGTCTGACAAGCAAGAAACCAAGTGAAGGAACACAAAAAAAGCAATGGGTGTTTAGTACCAAAGCCCATATAAACAGTTTCTGGAACTGCCTGGAATGGCAGTACTGGGTCCTTCATCAAATGTTCTACCAGTAATGGTGGTCAGGGTCCCTGACAAATGTTTGGGAACAACTCCCCACACAGTGCTGGTGGGAATCCCTATCCCAGCTTAGAGAGAGGGAAGATGAAGCTCTTGGACTGGATGCCCAACTGGGGAGGAGTGTGGGACTGAGAAAGGAGCCTGTTTAAGGGCCACACCCACCAGGCGTCCCTACTCAGAATGTTGTCTTGGCAGATGAGTATCAGAATGAGATTTTGATTTAAATTACTTTCCTTCTGGAATGAGGATGAGCTTCTAAGTATTAAAAAAAGAACCTAATGCTAAAAGAGAGAAATAAACCACAACAAAAAAGCCCAAAACACAACAATAAAAAATAGATTAAAAAACAAACAAACAAAAGCCAATGCTCATCCTACACTTCTTCCCCAGCACACACATATGCAGATACCCCATCTGTCACCAAGATAGATGGCTTGGGCTTCTGCAGTGTCTCTCATGTTGTCCCTCCCTCTTACTCCAGATTGCTGTTTCCCTCATTCAGGCACTGGTGCTGTTTGCTGGGGCTTTTATATGTCTTCTGAACTCATTTCCTTGTCTCCTCGATGCTTAAAAGACAAACAAACAAACATGTGTCACTCTCAGGACTCCTGGTTTCTTGGAATCCAGTCTGATCTCATTGGGAGGGATGGATCCATGTATCCTCTGAGTTTTGGCCCTCCCATTTCTCTGCTTCCTTCATTTACTGGCTACCATGCCTTCTGTGCCCCAAAATAAAATAATCGTCAGCCCATGGCTATGTTCTCATCTTGTCTGCCTCTGTGTATTTGCTCCTGCCAGCCCCTCTGGCTGATGTGTTTTCCTATCTCTGCCTATCAGAGTCCTATACATTCTCAAAGTTCTAGCCCATATACTATCTCCTCATGAAACTTTTTAATATTGTCACCTAGAGGCTACTTCTCCTTTTCTGTCCTCCCATAATATGATTTATTTGTTATATTGTTTAGTGTATTCAAACTTATAATTACTCACACTTGTCTCATGTCCTTGCTTGGACTGATATACCTTGATTTTAGGAATTGCATTTTACTCATTTTTCTATCTCCATTAATAAATTAAATATTCAAATTCATTAATTTCCTCAGCTTACTGGGTCTACTTTAAACATTCTTTAGGTTTAACATGAAGAATCTAAGGATCTTAGCTCTAGACAGGAGCCTAGGTCAACTCTGAAATGTGTCCAAATGCCCATGTTTTTGCTTCAGTTAGGAATTTTCTGAATTTCCTTGCATGTTCCCAAAACTGGATTTTGGTTTCAGGGGGGAACAAACTTAGACACAGAGTTGCTGGTCTCTTTACATTTGCTATTTTCTAATAAGTTTGGATACTGTGCCTTTGGTGATAGAGCATTTATATGCTTGTGATGTGCCAGGTTCCAGCATTTATAACCTGTAGCATGCTGGGCATGTCCCTTACACTTCCTGAGCCTCTGTTTCCAATGAGATAAGAACAGTAACAAATCTTTCACACTGGTTTGCCTTGTGGCTTAAATAAGAGAATGGCCTACTCCTGGCTGGGTCTACTCCTCTTCTGTACTTGCTTTCATTCATTCATCAAATATTACTAAGTACCTGCCATGCACCTAGCTCTAGTCTAGGCACTTGGCATACATCAGTGATCAACATAAGATTCCTGCTTTGTGCAGCATCATTCCAGCACATGCTACATTGTACTGCATTCATTTGTCTGTGTGATTCTCCACCAGCTTGTGAGCTGCTTGGTTGTATGTCTCTGGCACCTTGTGCCATGCCATACTTAACACATATTATATGCTCAATAAATATTTGTGGAATGAATGTGAAAGTGCTTCTTAAATTAGTAAGTGTTGGAGGCTTGTATGACCCCCAACCTCTACTCCTAGCTGGAGTTGCTTCACTCTAGGTATTTCCATCCATGTGTGAATAGACCTTTATTTGTACATACCTTTTTCTTTCCTATGTTCCCATTGCCAACTCAATGCCTAGAGCATGGCAGATGCTTCATGTGTTTATTAAGGAAATGCATGACTATTTGTATGAGTACCTCTGCCCCTGGGGTCATGGTAGTGCTTGACTGTGTCCTCTGATTTGGCAGAGGAAATTAACTAGTTCTGATTGTTTAATTACAGAGAAGGCTGTTAAGTTCCCTTTTTATCATTCCTGAACTAATTTTCTGAGCCTTGCACTGTGTACTCCTTTATTCCATAGCAAAATATAAGGAGAAGGAAAATACAGATCCTTTTCTTATTTCAGCTCTGTGATGATCTTTTACCAATCAAGTGCTCTTGAGGCATCTTGATAATAAGTAATCTATGTTTCTTTCTTACATCTATAAATGCCTTATATTTGCATGTACCTTGTTTTGCATATTCATTAAATACTTGCTTTAGTAGGGTTTTGATTTATTTCATAACAGTTTCCTGGTTTTTTTTAAAAAATTCATACTCCATTCCCAGAATATATATGTTAAAATGTAATTAAACATGAAAAGACAACCCACAGAAGGGGAGAAAATATTTGCAAATCAAGTACATTCTTGTATCTAGAATGTATAAAGAACTCTTACAACTCAACAACAAAAAAAACAAGAAATCTAATTGAAAAATGAGCAGAGGATTTGACAGACAATTCTCTAAAAAGATATACAAATGGACAGTAAGTGTATTAAGATATACAAATGGCCAGTAAGTGCATTAAAATATGTAAATCAAAATCATAAGACAAATTTTACACCCACCAGGAAGGCTAAAATAAAACAGAAAATAGCAGGTGTTGGCAAAGATGTGGAGAAACTGAAACCCTCATTTATTGCTGGTGGAAGTGTAAAATGGTGCAGCCAATTTGGAAAAGTTTGTCAATGCCTCAGAATGTTTAACATAGAGTTACCACAGTACCCAGCAATTTCACTCCTAAGCATAAACCCAAAAGAACTGAAAATGGATATTCAAATACATATTTGTACATGAAGGTTCATAGGAGTACTATTCACAATAGCCAAAAGGTAAAAACACTCAAATGTCCATCAACTGATGGACAGATAAACAAAATGTGATATATCCATACAGTGGAATATTATTTGGCCATAAAAAGGAAAAAGTACTGAGTCTTGCACTTCAAAAACATTATACTAAGTGAAAGAAGTCAGTTACAAAAGACTGCATATTGTATTACTTCGTATGAAGTGTCTAGAAAAAGGCAAATCCTTAGACACAGAAAGTAGATTAGTGGTTTCTAAGGGCTGAGAGAAGAGGAAAATGGAGAGTGACTACTAATGGGTATGGCTTTTTCCTTTGTGGTGATGAAAATATTCTAAAATTAGAAGGTGGAGAAGGTGGAGAAGGTAAAACTCTGTGACTATACTAAAACCCACTGAGTTTTATACTTCAAAAGGATGAATTTTATGGTAGTAAGTTATATATCAATAAATCTATTAAAATGTAATTAAAATATATAGCAGAGATTATAAAGGGGTATTTAATTATATTTTTCAGAGTAGCACCAAGTTCTATTCAATGTCTGCCCTCACTCACTAAATAAATCTCAGTTTAATGATTGATGGATGAATGAACTAAACAATAAACAACAAGAAATGAAATCTGTCTAGCACCCAAATTGATAAAAACAGACCTTGAACTAACTAGTCTTTATCTTGGAAATCAAATGCATAACCTCAAGAGCTCTAACTCCACCAAATAGGACAAAAACTCAGCCTATTGTTCCTATCTTCTGATTTCAATGGGGAATGTAAGAAAATTAGAATGATCTGGCCCCAAGTTATTAGAAATCACATACTTAAATCTAACCAAGTGCCTCTTTGTGTTCCATGAGAAAATTAGAAATAATTCATATCTATATAGTAACTTAAAATTTATATTTAACAATGTTAAGTTATTATCACCTAAAATCTAATTTTGGTAATGATAATTCTTAAGGCCTTCAAATATATATACTTCGTGTGTTAATTTAGTCTTGGGACTGTCAGCTTATAAAAATATAATATACTATTTTAAGATATTTTACAACAAATATTTTGAACTTAAATAAATTTGTCTTGGCATTTGTTTGGCACATATACTCAGAAAACTATATGTATCCTGGAACTTCTTATTGATATTACTACTAGTAGAACCAATCCAACATTTATTGCTGCTTTAGGGAGGCTTGAGGGAGGTACTGGGAATAACAATAATGAAGAGAGTACAGTATATAACCTTCAGAGCCTGATAAAATAGTGGGAGAGATAATAAATAAATAGTTACAAAAATGTGATAAATGCTATAACAGAGGCGAGATCAAGGAGCTCTAAGTAAATGATACCAATTCCAATATTGGGAATACTGACTTTTATTTATCTTATACCTGTAAGATTTTATACCTCTGTAAAAATGGTGTTCAATTAATATCTGTTGAACTGAAATTCAAAGGTAGGCTTGAGATATTAATAAGAAATGGAAAATAAAATAATTTAAAATAATAAAATAAAAATAGAAAACAAAGGTGCTGTATGGTTAAAAGACTATACTTGAAGGACTGTTAAAAAAAGCTCAACTTATTTTGTGGCAAACCATTTAATAAAAATCAGTTTATAAATTTGCCCTGGAATACAGCAAAGCCCTTGCATTTTCATACATTTTATTAAAGGCTTGGGCCCTCTCTCTGAAGTAGAGATGTTAACTTTGGGATCAACAAAGGAGGACTCCCCCACTTTTTTAAGGGTCAGATTTTAAATTTATGCAACAATGACATTCACTCATCTCTAAGATTCAAACTAAATTCAAAATCCAGCAACTATCTGAAATTTGCTTATAATTCATCTATTTCTCGCTGCTTCAATCTGTTCTACTGGACTCCTGGGGTGTGATGTTACCATATGGATTAGTGGTTCCTTGGCAAATTTCATATCGCAACTAATCTACAAATTGAGAATAATATCTGGTTTTCTTGTCTTATAGGGTTGTCTTGAGAGGAAATAAAATTGAATATATGCATTTTATTAGTAAAATGCCCTATATGATATGCTACATGCTACTGCATTATTGACCTCCACACATACCAAAAAAAGGGTTTTTTTTAGTTCTACTTGATGAAAATCTTTCATAGTCTATTTTATATTATTCACACTTATATGAATTTGTTTAAGACAAGAAAATTCAATTTTCTCTCTACTGCCAGATTTCTAAATTTTCAAAATGTGCTTTCATTTTAATAGGTAAAAAGGCTACTATTCACTCTTCCATGAAAAGCTCTTCAGTGACATAAAAGTTGTTGGCATAGAAGCACAGCTTGACAGTGGAGAAACAGCCATATTAAATTGGGAGCATGGTTTAGAGAAGTTTACCTGAGCATCAGGATCATTCAGAAGCCTGATTCAAATCAAAATTCTAAGGTCTCGCCCAGGTCCAGTGAATCAGATCCTGGTGAGGATGGGGGGACTGTAAGTTTGCATTTTAAACAGGTTCCCCGTCTGGTTCTTAGATACTACCAGAACTGTAGGTCCAGATATTTACATTGCCCACTCTCAGCAACACTGTGGGGATAGCTGTGGTGTGTGGGCAGGGGGTGGTGGTTTTCAAGTGTAACCAGAGGCCTGGAAACGGTGTCCTGCCCTTTTGGATGGGCCTCTTGCCCTCCAGCCCCAATCAAATACAATAGTTCTGCTTTTGTCTGTTTTACACACTGGGGTTCCCTCAGATTTGTTTCATCAGAGGGTTCTACTGCTAAGATCAAGTCTGAAAATCATTGATGAAAGGCATCAAAAATAGCGTCTGGTATCAGAAGACCTGGGCACTTGTGTTTCTCTTGGCACCTGCCATCTGACAGTCTTTGTGCTAGTAGATAAACTTCAATATCTTCATTTGTAACACAGTCATAATCCTGGGTCTACCTTAAGGGGTGACTGGGGGGATCAAATCAGATAATGCAAAGTATCTGAAACTAGGAATGATTATTCACATGTATTGTTATTATAACTAGGGACAGCATATGATTGAGTATAAGAATGGATATATTTTAACTCTTCAAGGGATGTGTTGAACTGATCTGTCAAATTCATTTTTGCCCAACACAAGATCACACTTGAACATTGCAACTTAATAAAGGGCCTTTGGAGGAAGGAGGGAGGAGGAGAAGAGGGCAAAACTCACCGACACAAATGCTTGAGATTTGGTTTCGTTCAACTGAAGCTGCAATTTCTTTTCATTGTCATAGACCCCATAGAGCCTCTTGGACCAGGTCTGAGGTACTCTGCTCTTGAATTTTAATGAACTATATAAAGCGAATATCCTTTGTAAATCTAGGACCAGACAGCTGCAGTTGTAGAAGATGACACCAAGTTCTTTCATCTGTGAAAGTAAAATGAAAGCATCAATGCCGTGTACACGTGATGGTGTTACTCTCAGAGAAAAAAATGTAGTATTCTCAGAGAAAAGACTGCAATAATAGCAATAGCGATATTTTCTTCTTGCAATTGTTATACTGTAACAACTATATATATACACTGTATCTGTAAGTATGTAGATACAGTCACATTATGGTATACAGAAATGATGCGTCATTAAAATGCTTAAATATTTAAGGAAAACTTTTGCTGGAGTTTTGCATTTGAGCTCTTATGGATAATTTTTCCATATTCACCTACACTTTTTATATCAGCTCTTCAGATTGTTTTCTTCAACATTAAATTTTTTGGTATGAATCCTTAAATCGTGCAGCAATATAAAGATTGACTTTTAGTTGCAACATAACAGAATGGTTTAGATCATGGATTCTGGACTCAGATTGCCTGAAATTAGGTTCCAACTCTACAAATTTCTACTGTGTGACTTTTTTATTTTAAATAAATTTACTTTTGGCTGCACTGGGTCTTTGTTACTGCGTGCAGGCTTTCTCTAGTTGTGGCGAGCGGGGGCTACTCTTCGTTGTGGTGTGCGGGCTTCTCATTGTGGTGGCTTCTCTTGTTATGGAGCATGGGCTCTAGAGCACAGGCTCAGTAGTTGTGGTGCATGGGCTTAGTTGCTCTGCGGCATGTGGGATCTTCCCGGACTAGGGCTTGAACCCGTGTCCCCTGCATTGGCAGGCGGATTCTTAACCACTGTGCCATGAGGGAAGCCCTGTGTGACTTTTAAGATACTTAATCTCTGGGCATCATTTTCTTCTTCCATAAAAAGGAGACAATAGTATTTATTTCATACAATTGCTATGATGCATAACACGGTTAATATATTTTATGGGCTTAGAATAGTGCCTATCACATCGTAACCACTTAAAATACATTAGCAATTATTATTCTTATTAACATTGTACAAGCCTCAAGAGTAAGAGACCAATAGAATCTTGCAACAAAGATATCATAGAGATTATTTTGTCCACCTCCCTCGATGCACAGATGAGGAAAGTAAATCTTACACAGGTAAGCAAAAATATATCCCCCCGAGTGAGAGATCTAGTCAGGGGTAGATTCAGAATTTGATGCAGGTTTTCTCACCCTTGATCAAATACACCCAGGAACATAGCAGCACTGGCTTCAAGTCTATTATCACTTTGAAAAATTATAGATGATTTCTGATTTAGTCAATGAAAGTGAAAAAGTGAAATTTTGGTCTTAACAGCATAAATACACATGCCTCATGATCTGAACACCCAGTGAGGGGTTTGTCAGGGACACCTTGGAAGGTGTTTAACTTCATTCCTTTCCTCCACCCCCCTACGCAATACTCTTCTCAGGATTATAGGAGAGGTCACCAACTGTGTAGGGGCCCATCTCTCCTTTCCTATTAGGACTCCCTAATACAGTGCATCATGAGACCTTTTCACATTCATCTATACCTGGCTGGCATCATTTTAGCAGCTCCACAGCGACCACAGAATAGATGGACACAAGTTATTTAACCTGCTGATGGACTTGTCCTTATTTTTCCTCTAATACAAAATATAAAGCAACGAGCACCCTTGTACACACATCTCTGTGCGCCTGTACAAGGATTGCTTTAGTACAGATTTCTAGAATTGAATGGACACAAACATTAAGGGCAATTAAGAAAGGTTAAGAAAGTGGGAGGAACTAGAGTGGGGAGGGCGTATCAGGTATGTGCAAAGGCACTGAGGTCAGTGGGATAGAATCAGAGTTGTGCAGCTGAAGCTGAGGGAGATAAGGGAGAATGTGTATGTGAGTGGGTAGATACGTTAATTTGATGGCAGAGGGTAAAACTGGTGGGATAGGTGTGTCAGATTCCCAGAGGCCTCTGTGCTGGGATGGGCAGTTTGGCATTTATGCCGAAGGACATGGGGAGGGAGGTGATGAGGCAGAGGGGGTGTGGACAGGCTACGAACTGGAAAGGTCCCTTTGCCTGGCTGTGGAGAAAGGATGAGGGAGTTGGGGGCAGGGCCTTCAACACCCGGGCCTTAACAGTGACAAGGGGAGAGACTTACACATACTTATGTGTTTTCTAATCTCAGGGATTTTCAAAAACTGTTTAGCATAACTGCTAATAATTGCAATACCATTCCAGGTTGAGATAGGGCCCACCTTGCTGTTTGCACAGTCTCTGCTGATAGAATCTCAGGAATAGTAGGCTCTGCATTTGGCCTTCACACTTCTGTGTCTTTTCCCAGATTGAGTCAATGCTGCCACATTATCTTCTCCAAGGAAGCCTTGATCATTTCAGGGTTTTCAACTTTGTATCAGTTTAGCTTTATAAATAGGCTCTTTGTCTGGTGGTGGCAGTGGGGTCAGCAGAGCTGAGACTCAGGTTCCCACATAAGTAAGCAGCTGCCCCTCCCAGACATGCTTCCTTGCCTGCCAGACACAGGCAAGGTTAGTACATGTCCAGGGGGCTGGCCTGGCCTGGGGCCATCCTCAGGAAAGAAGGGACAAACAACAATGACCTGAGGCCAAAGATGTGAATTGAACTCTAGGATCTTTTACCAACCAGATTATAGGGTCTCGGGCAAGTCATCCAATTCTGAGTCCTTTTTTTCCTTTTCTGAACAACGAAGGGGTTGGGCTTATAAAGTCTACAGGGGTCTTCCAGCCTTGCCATCTATGGCTTTGGGACATCAATTTCCTGCCCACCATGCATTCCCTTCTCCCTGCCCAACCTGCCTCTCAATACTGACCAGAGACTTCTGTTTGTGTGTCAAGATCAGCTCCTTCTGGCTCCGGCCTGAATGTGGCTGGCAACCCTCCCAGGTTTTCAAGTCAGATGAGGCAGATTTGCATCTTGGTTCTGCAGCTTACTTGTTGACTAGCCTTGGGTAAATTACTTAACCCTTAAATTCTAGTTTATTGTTCGATGAGGATAATATCTATCTACAAGTTTTGCTGTTAGAATTTAATAATAATCCTAATTTTAATAGCTAGTATTGACTGAGGGCTCACTTGTTGTGTGTACTGTGTTGAATAGTGTCCCCTCGTCCCATTCATTTCTACACAGAACCTGTGAATGTGACCTTATTAGGAAATATGGCTTTTGCAGATGCAATCAAGATGAAATCATACTGAATTATGGTAGGCCCTAAATCTAATATGACTGGCATCCTTATAAGAAAAGGAAAATTTGGACACTGTGCCACATACACACAGGGGAGATGAACATAGGCACTGGAATGATGCATCAGCAAGCCAATGTGCCAAGGATTGCTGGCCACTACCAGAGGTTAGGAGGACAGGAAATATTCTCCATTAGCACCTGCAGAGACCTGTGAGAGAAAAGGTCCTGCTCTTTTAAGCCACCAAGTTTGTGGTTTAGAAGCCCTAGGAAACTGGTGCAGTGTGCCTTTCATCTTGATAGTAGATATAATGGTATTTATTCCTTCCACTTTATATAGAAGGAAACTGAGGTTTGGATGGTTATTTGCTAAATGATACAGCTAAGATTTGAGTTTTGGTCTAACTTCAACGCCTGTGTGCTTGGTCCCTTATGCTATACTGACCTTAGCAAATGTCTAGTAAGCAACCCATGGGTCTACTGCTGTTAATTCTATGAAGCCTTTTCTGGCCATCTTTCCTGCTTTGACTATTACCGTACTTGCACATATTTCTGATGTGGCACATTTTTACGCGGTATTATAGTTTTAAAAAAGTTGTGTGTCTGTTTCCCCTAAGTGACTCTACAGTCTCTGAAGGCATCAAGTTCATATTTCTATTTCCAGTGCTGGGCTATAGTGCTTGCTTGGAAAATGTTTAACAAATGAATACCTGGCCTTCAAGATGAATTTATGGTGATCAGAGATGAAAACAAGCTTCCTTCTCAACCCAGAAGCCCTGGTTCTGGGTCAGCCTGAGGGCCTCTGATCCTGAGCACCCAAATCTAACAAGAACCTCTCTTCTGGTGCCAAGGGTCCTGGAGCAGCAAACCTGGACATGGACGCATAAAACCTGTGGCCGTGCTGGCCCCAGAGATCCACCTGGAATACTTTCACAAGCACGGTGCTCAATGATGGCATCAATGACAGTTCTTATACTGGTCAATGAGCCAACTGTCCTCTAACCATGTTTCCTGCACCTACCAACAATGGGGTACAGAACCTGACACAGTCTTTTGAGTGGAAACTGCCTTATCCACAGATCTATCCAAGCCCAGTAGAGCCAGAGGCAGAATGCCATGAAAGTACAAATCCAGGGAATCATTTGATTTTTGTGACCAAAAGATGAACTCGGTGGCCATGATTGGCTTTCAGTATGTTTGGATCTCTTTGGTATCCTTTGTTTTTCCACATCAGACCTTTAGAGATTTCAGGTTACTTGCAACACATGGCAAACAAGTATGTTTGGAGTCTTCTGTTCAAAGGCTGGACAAGAATACGGTGCTCTCCTGTGTACCTCTTCCCCTAGTCTCCACATGGGGGTTACATCATCTCTGCTGTCATTGGGGAACAAAGCCACTGCCCACTGTCATTCTCTACTGACTCTTTCCTAATACACAGAATAATGTTAAGTGAAGTACTCACTACACTAGTGCAAGCTCCCCATACCTAGGAAGAAAGCAACCACTCTGCAATATGGTATGGCATGAATAATCTGGGTAAGTGTTAATGTGAAATTTGAAATCTAGAAGGGTGCCAGGGTAGCAGCTCTGAAACTTTCCCCTGCAGAGGAACAGGGGAGAGAGAGAGAGAGAGACCTCTCCATATGACCTAACAAGACGCAGGAAGTCATCTCCCAGAACAGGCTCTGAAGACAGACTAACTCCACCAAGGGCAAGGCACTTAATCTCTTCGCTTCCTTTATCTGTAAATAGGTATACATCATAGAACTGCTACAAAGAATAGATGAAAACATGTACGTAAAACATTTAGCTCAGTGCCTGGCTCAAACAGTGTTAGCTTCAGCTATACCAAGGTC